GAGGAGGAGGAGGAGGAGGAGGAGGAGGAGGAGGGGGTAGTGGTTACATTGCTGCGTGGTGGGTGGATAGATGGGGGATTGTCTCCTACTGCTACCTATTTACTTTGAATGTACATGAAGTGGTGTTGATGGGGCAGTAAACAGATTAATGAATATCATGAGATTGTAAACCTAGTATAATGAGGTTGATCTGGTACATCGGAAAATACGTTAAGCTGAGTGGACCGGATAAGAATGCCGACGGATGACAGGCGGAAGAGATTCCGGTTTGTCTGTCTGTCTGTTTGTTTGTCTGTCTGTCTGTCTGTCTGCGGGGTTGCTTTTTCCGCAGATAAACGGATTAAGTTGGAGATTGAGTTGACAGCAGACTGAAACTGATCTATACTACCACATAGCACGGAGACGTACTTGCTCTTGTACCTATTAGGTAGTAAATAGTAGTACTGCTACTGCTCCTCCCTCCTGGTTGCCGTGCGGGGAATGGAAGCCAATCCCAAAACAATCAATTCAACCCAGCTTATCGCCTGCCTCTTCACCGATACGAGGTTCCATCATCATCTCCTCATTGTCTCAGATTCCTTGCCCTGCTTCTCCCCTCTCTTCCCTTCTCTCTTCACTTCCCACCCACTCCCCTGAATGTATCCATCCGTATACTTCCTTCCACATATTCGCTCATCATGAACCTCCGTCGAGTAACCTCGCACAATTTCCATACCTTTCGACACCACTATGTGTCGGAGATCTCCGGCTCTCTGGGCGATCTGGGCACCTTCTTGCCCATCGCCATCGCCCTCGCCGTCAATGGCACTGTCTCTCTATCGAGCACCCTGATCTTCTCCGGTCTGTTTAACATTCTAACAGGCCTCTTCTTCGGGATTCCGTTACCCGTGCAGCCCATGAAAGCCATCGCGGCCGTGGCCATTGCTCGAACCTTCACCAACGGAGCCATCGCCGCCGCCGGTATCTTTGTCGGGGCTTGCGTCTTCCTCTTCAGTATAACCGGCCTCCTGAACTGGTTCGCCAACGCTATCCCCATTCCCGTCATCAAAGGCATCCAAGTTGGCGCCGGTCTGTCCTTGATCATCGCGTCCGGGGGTTCGATTCTCTCGTCCCTCGGATGGCTGTACCCGTCCTGGGCCGACAACCGCATCTGGGCCGTGGCCGCCTTCCTGTTCTTGATCATCACCAACGTGTACCGCCACGTGCCCTACGCCCTGCTCGTCTTCATTCTAGGGCTCTCGTTTGCCGTCATCGGCAGTGCGCTGGCCTCCGACCTCCCGTCCCTCGTCTTCTGGCACCCCTCCACCGTCATCCCATCCGCCCACGAATGGCGCATCGGCGCGCTAGACGCGGGAGTCGGTCAGATCCCCCTGACGACCTTGAACTCCGTCGTCGCCGTCGTCCACTTGGCTGGGGACCTCCTCCCAACCCTGGAGACCCCCTCCATCACCTCCGTCGGCCTCAGCGTGGCAGGCATGAACCTCATCGGATGCTGGTTCGGCGCGATGCCCGTCTGCCACGGCTCCGGCGGTCTGGCGGCCCAGTACCGCTTTGGCGCCCGGTCCGGCGCCAGCGTCATCATCCTGGGGGCTCTCAAGCTGATCATCGGCGTGTTTTTTGGTGAATCCCTCGTCGGCCTGCTGAAGCGCTTCCCCACCGCCCTGCTCGGCGTGATGGTCATCGCCGCCGGCCTGGAGCTGGTCAGCGTGGGCGAGTCGCTGAACACTACCGGGGCGCGGGACATCCGCAAGGCCAGCCACGGGTTCGCCGGCGACGGCGCGCAGGAGATTGGCCCGATGCTGAGCGACTGGGAGCGCAAGCGCCGGTGGACCGTCATGATGGTCACCGTGGGGTTGTTGGTGGGGTTCAAGAACGATGCCGTCGGCTTCGTGGCCGGGATGCTCTGCCATTGGGGGTATGAGTTGCCCACGCTGTTTGAGCGGGTGCGCGAACGGTGGAATCAGAGACGGATACAGTTGGAGTGATTGAGCCGACACAATTTGGTTTGATTCTCCGGTGTTGGACGACGATCTTCTTTCTGGCAGTCGATTGTCTTGATGGTTGTATAGTTGACCTCAATGTATATATGCTTTTCGGGGGCATTTTGGACATTTTTCTTTTTGCTCTGGCTGAGAACACGAGAGAGATGAGATATGAGCTTATGTTTTGGAATTCTTGATTTACGCATGGGCTTGCGATGGTATGTATTTACGAGATTTGGCTTTGCCCTGCGGCTACTTGTCGGAACAGAAGATCCAGGCTGAAATATGGCCTGGGGTCAAGGTGGTTGCAGTCTCAACTTCATGTCACATGTCACGATCCTGGACAGCAAGACTTTGGGCTGTGGATACACAACCCAACTCTTCTATATACCGAAATCAAGAGATGGGATCAGGTCGCTACCGAATTTACTGAAATGTGAACAGGCTTTGCCAGGCATGCAACACGTAACCTGTGCGACGTTAACCTCCTAATTGTGGACGGTCTATATGCTCATACCAAACATAAAACCGGTTCAGGCGTCGTTGCTACTTTGAGTGCCTATAAAGAAGTTACACTACACAGACAAGTCGCTAACAGCATGAATCTCAAGATCTTTTCTCAATCCGGCTATACCTAGCATACAAAACCGCAACTTTTCCCTACTTTTTGTGTACTTCTACCGAAATCCCTACTCTCTCTCTCTTTCTCTCTCTCTCTCGCTAATATACACAAAACCGCAGCCCCCGCTTACATACGCTTGAGGACATCATCCAGAACCTGCTGGGTCGTAGCCTTGCCGCCCATATCGGGGGAGAGGAACTTGCCCTCATCGAGGTTCGCATCGACGGCGGCGTAGATCTTGGCGGCGGCGGCCTCCTCGCCGAGGAACTCGAGCATCAGGGCGACACTGCGGAGGGTGGCGATGGGGTTGGCGATGCCGCGGCCCTCGATGTCGGGGGCGCTGCCGTGGCAGGGCTCGCCGATGGCGAAGCCATCACCGACGTTGGCGCTGGGCACCAGCCCCAGACTGCCGACGAGGGCGGCGGCGCCGTCGGACAGGATGTCGCCGTACAGGTTGGGCGCGACGATGACGTCGTAGTACTCGGGCTGGCGGAAGAGCTTGTAGACCATGGAGTCGACGATCTGCTCCTCAACCTCGACGCTGCCGGCAAACTGGTCGGCGGCCAGGGCGCGCCGCGCCGTCTCGCGGAACAGCCCGTCCGTCTGCGAGAGCACGTTGGACTTGTGCGTGATCGTCACCATGGGGCTGGTGCGGGCGGTCGTCGACAGCCCGGGGGGGCCAGCGGTGCGGATCTTCTGGCGCCGCAGGGCGATCTCGCCGGCGATGCTGGCGATGCGGAAACTCGCCCGCTCGGAGATCCGCTTGATCGCTTCGGCCACCTTGCCCTCCGCCGTGTCGCGCGTCGTCTCCTCCTTCACGTACAGGTCCTCCGTGTTCTCCCGCACAATCACCAGGTCGATCGGCTTGCCGTTGTGGCTGCCCCCCGCCGTCGTCTTGACCGGCCGCACGTTGGCGTACAGGTCCAGCTTCTTGCGGAGCGCGACGATCGGTGAGCTGTAGCCGGCGACCTTTGTGCTGGGGGAGCTGTGTGCGTTTGATGAGTTGGTTAGTAGGAGGGGGTGGTAGGTGGGATTCAGGGGAGGGAGGGTTACCTGACGGCTCCGAACAGAGCACCATCACACTCCTTCTTCAGGGTCTCGACCGTCTTGTCTGGCAGAGCGGTACCGGTCCGCTTGAAAGTGTCGAATCCCGCATCCAGATCGACGAAGCTGAAGTTCAGGTTCAGCGAGGAGGGAAGAGCCTCCAGAACGCGGCGACCGGCCTGTTGGAGGACTTGTGGTCAGTTTTTGGACTTCTGGTGTCGTGGTTTGGATAAGGAAAGGAATTCAAGGTCATCGTCTCCTGGGAAAGTGACTCACCGGGATGACCTCCCGTCCGATACCATCTCCGGGGATGAGACCTGTATAGTTGACAGGGGATGTCAATTGAGCCTCCTTGAGTTATATTCAGTCACAGAAGAAGAGAATCGTACCAATGCGAAGAGTTCTAGCAGCAGCAGCCATGGTGAAATTGTGGATTTTTTTTAGTAGGTGGTTGTGCAAGGAATCAAGGAGAGTTTAAGTGTGACTCGAGCTCATTATAAACGGCCGATAGAGAAACCGCCGCAATCGGAGGATCGGCGGGCCCCGGTTTTGGGGGGGGAGGGCGGAAGGGGACCGGGTGTGGGTGGGTGACTGGCAGGTTCCCACCGCTTCGGCCACCGCCCCAACTGGCAGCAACTACGCAACCCCGTAACGAGAATCCATTCTGCACTAGGTATACAGAGGGGGGAAATCTATCTGAAAAAAACTGTTCAAAAGTATACCGCCTTTGACTTTGGGGGCAGAATAGGCTCCTCACCGCGTAAACCGCCGCTCCAAATGGCAGAAACTAAGAAACCTCGCAACCTCGCAACCTCGCGGCGGGATCTCACAGGTATACAGCGGGAAAAAAGCGGCCGAGGAAACTGTTCGATCTGTTACCGCCTGCCGAATCTGGATGACACATGACTGGCAGAAAAAGCGAGCCGGTGATGATGACATTCAACTCACGTGAGCTGCTGCCGATGGCCCACAACGGGTTCGCACTCCTGGTGTCAATGACTCTCCGTATTCCACACACTTGCACTTCTCTCGGGCCTTTGAAAGCCACCTGCCAATGCGAAACTACTACGGTTGTCCAGAACGCTCACCGGACACGGTTCCAGGGCCAGACGCACTACGGGGTACAACAAGGACAACCGACGTCTGTTTGGCGATCTATACAGCGCCGTACTCCACTCTCACCAGCTCGTCCACTCTCCCTTTCGCCGAGAGAGTGAGAAGGCGTTCCTCGCCCTCCCTCCATTCTCGTTGGGGTGTGTCACTTACCCTTGAGGGATTCGGCCTTCTTTCCGAAGGGAAAAAAAGAAAAAAGGGCCGCTTTCGCCGCCGCGGCTTTTCTTTGTCAGGATGGTGTACGATTGGGAAGGAAAGCGGGAAATCTGCTTTCAGATGTATATTAAGGACAAGAAGGCGCTCGAGGAGATCATGGAATATATGAAGAATGTCTATCAATTTGCCCCGAGGTGAGTGAGTTTCGTGGAGTCTGTGTATCGTCGACATTGGACCCCTTGATTTTCCAAACCCTCGAGTCCTCCCCCCGCGCCGATCCGCTGTCTCGCTCTATCCTCGTTTTTGTCTCACTGACAGCCAATTGTTTCTCGCCCAGTAAACGAGCGTTCCAGACCCAATTCAAGCGGTGGGGGTTCCCGTCCAAACAGAATCCAGCACACAAGAATGTCGAACTCGTGGCGCGCGTCAAGCAGCTCTGGGAGCGGAATACCAGCCAACGAGACATGCTGCGCATGCTCAATGAGGAAGGGTTCGAGATCAAGGAGCGCGAGCTGATGCGGGTGCGCGCCAAGAACCGTTGGCTGCTTCGCGTCCCCAACGGCATGAAGTCGCAGTCGAGGATGATGCAGACGCCCCTGCCGCAATTACCGGAGGATGAAGGTCTCCTGGCGCTGCAGCAGGAGGTGTATAAGTCTGGGTTGGCATATGAAGAGCCCGAGGAGCCTCTTGTCCCCGCTGCCCCTGTTGCTGGCACAACCACCACCACCACCACCGTCGCCACCGCCGACGACGCGTCAATTTCGCCGACCGACTCTCCAGCCTTGTCGGCCGAGGCTCTGGCCAAGCGCAAAGAGCGAATGGACAAGTTGAAGGCAGAGAGTGCGGAGCGGTGGGCGAATCGCAAACGGCGGCGGCGCACGCGCGGATGGGCAGGCATGCCAGCGGATCCACCAGGGCCGCCCCGATTTCCCTCGGAGACGACGATTGACGAGAGCAAGAAATACCTGAACCTGGATAATGTGATGTATCGGCAGATTCGGGACCAGTTTCAACAGATCTGTGAGGAAGCAGGCTTCATCAAGAAGACGGTGGCTGGACCCGAGCGATGGCAGGAGGCGAAGAACAAGTTAATCCAGGAGTCGTATCACCTCCAGCAGGTGTTTCACGATCAGAATCAGCTGGACGTGAAGTCGTTGGCGCTGGATGTCGTCTGTACTGATGTGACGAAGCGGATGCGTACGCTGGAGCGCCGGATGACCATTGCCGAGGCGAAAAATGCTTTGGGCATCAACCCGGAGGAGAGTCGTCAGATCCGGAATGCATTCTACAATACCCTCAAGGCGGATCATTTCACCAGCAAGCTGGAAGCGGGCGACGAACATTGGAAGGAATTGAAGGAACAGTGGATCCAGAATTCGGAGCTCCTCCGACGCATCCTCGCCCCCGGCGCTGTGGATCCCGAGCATGCGACCAAGCTCAAGGCCCTCGAGGTCCTTTGTCGCGATGTCATGAAACGACTCCGCGACGACCAAACGAAGCGACATCCCGCCCGGAAGTCGTCGGTCACGCACTCTCATGTGCCCAGCCCGGATCTGGAGAGCCCCCCAGTCAGCGTCGGTGCAACCCTCGGCAGTGGCATCGCGAATGGCATCAGCACCCTGGCTTCACAGGCCCTGGCCAGTGCATCGGTGTCGAACAGCGATCTAGGCGACATGCAGATTGACCCGTCTCTGTTGCAAGCTGCCAACGACCCGTCCTTTGCCACCGCTGCTCATGCTGACTCGGGCAATGCCTTTAGCTATGTGGATCCGATGCTGGGGTCGTCCCTCTTGCACGTGCCCGTCTATCTCCGCATCCACCCCCAGAGCCCACTGCATGGAGACGCTAAGACCTGGGTGGATAAGTTGACCGCCAGGTCGGTGACGGAGCTCCAGCAATTGGTAGCGGCGAGATATCCTGACGCGGTCATCACGAAGATCGAGGGTACTGATCGCGACGAGAAAGGCAACGAGATCTCGTTTGTCATCGACGAGGAGCACGAGCTGGACGCCTATCTAACTCATGTCCATGGGAGAAAAGCGACGTTTGTCTTTTCCTTGGACCAAATTTGACATTTTGCACCACCGGGCCATGCCACCGGGTTGGCTCTCTGCAGTGCTCCTACTGATACCCATAGTTTGCCTGTCTTGTAAACATCCTGTTAGAAATCAATG